ACATTTCATGTTCTTTTTAAAATAGAATACTGCTTTATTCCTTGCTGGATGGAAAATAACTGCAGATTATCATCACATAATCTTACAAATTAGTACATTAGTTATAAGTCTTGTCATAAGTATCATGCATCCATTATATGGAACATTTTGTTGGTTGAAGTCCTCCATGTACCCACAAACAGAAAGAGCCATATGTTGAAAACAGAATGAAATTATCCCAGCTAACTCGAAAGTACACATTATAAAAATAGCAGATACAGGGAATGGTTTCAGTAATTTCAGTACTAGGTTCATGTAGCTATAAAATGCACAACATTAATGTTATGATTTATGACATCATTTGATTCATTCAGTGAGATACTGCCTTCTGATCACTGCAGAGTATCAATTACTCTTAATATTAATTATGGGGAAATCTGACACAAAATTTGCTTTGGTAAATGGGACAGCTGGTCTATTTTAACAGATTTTTTTTCCTCGTTCTTACCTAAAGGGTTCTGCAGCTATCCAGAACAGCGTCAATGGATTGAATTAAGAAGATATGAAATCTGATACATTTTGTAGTTTGGCGAACTGACCCACAAACCCTTTAATAACTGCGCATACTTGTATAATACTGTGTTATTAAGCCATTGAGGTCAGTATTGTAATTTTGCCCAAAGGCAAAAGGTCCATCAGAAAAAAAATGTTCCTATAAAAAAAAAGGTGGGGGGTCATCACTGACTGCATTTAGTTGTTGAAGAGATGGGTGAACACGACCTTGGCTTGTACTCTATGGAGAAGACTATCCCTGAGGAAGCTCTAGATTCTATGGGAAGCCTGCCTGTCCTGGCAGAGCTGGATATTTAACTCCCCATGGAGGAGCTTGGGAAAGTCATCGACTCGTTTTCCATGGACATTGATCCAGGTGCTGATTCTGTACTACCACAACTCAGCAAGCATGGCAAACTGGCATTCCTGCAAAATCTGCATAAACCTCTCTGTGTCTCTGTTGGAGGGAAAGGAGGATGTGTGATACAGAGTGTGATCTTATACTAGAATAGATAGGCTGTTGCCCCATCAGCCACTAGACTCTTAAGTTGCCCTTACCGTATTGTTATTAGCTTGCAAGGAAATACTTTATTTGTGCGTAGACAAGCAAACAATACTAATGAAGTAAATAACAAATACTTCCAGGAGTGAAAATGTGACTTAAGTTCATTTGGAATATTTGAGATTTATGGTTGATATATTTGCAAATAATTGGTATTGTTCTTATGGTTTACCAGACTTGAGTTTTGCTCCCTCTTGTATTTATCAGGCAGCAAGGTACTGAGCGAGAAGGAATGACAGTGATATGTAACATGATGAGAATACTGGGCTGAGAGAAGGAACATCATCAGCCTTTGATTTGGGGTCCCAGTCATATTATTTTAAGAGGACTAACAGACCAACCAAATTTCTCTGGTCTGAAAGAAGTTGACTCACCGAAAAGCCCGAATAAGGGATGATTTTCTGTTAACATACTGGATAAATCTAAAGCTTTCCAATGCTTTGTGGCAGATGATTTATGGAATACCGTAGTTACTCAGTGACTGTAAAGTAGACCTGTTCTGAATTTCTAGCCATTTTTGCTACTTGTTTGTCTCAGTGTTGTTCAGATGCCATTAATAAACTAAGCAACTGAAGACAGCTTTTAATATCTATCGAGGTGTATGGAAAATACAATCATCAATCCTTTCTGGCAGAGTTATTGACTTGGTCTTCTCCGAGCTGGAGATAAGACATCACCATTTGTCTGCTTGCTGTTCAAATCCACTTCCATTTGCTGGAGTGACTTGGCACAGATTGTTTTGAACAGTGGATGTTTACATGTCGGTAATCATCAACAACACAGAACATTATAAAATATGCTATTAATGATATCTAGCAGGGTCATCAGTGAAAAATAAGGAGAACAACACAAACTACATAATGGTTCTAGATATAAATGCTATGATTGGAGTAGAGGGCCAGAATTATCCTGCTAACTGTCCTGACAGTGTTCTAGCCTGTCATGTTGTTTTTTCTGGCCTCAACATGCATATCTGCCCAGCCCTCAGTACAATTCCTATCACTAAGAGGTACTTCGCCATTGTCCGCCTGCAATTGTGCCACATTGGGACTTCCATGACAGCAGCAGAAGGGGTAATTAGGCAGGTAAAAGGGCAGTAAACCTCCAAGATGGGATTCACCACGAGTGGAGCTGAAAAAAATTAATCATATTCTGTCACCAAGTCCCTCTTCCTGCTTTGGATGAACCCAGGGCTACAGTTTGCCATAGCACACCTTCCTTATAACAACCGCAGGAGGTGCAGACAGTGGGAAGAAGAGATTGGAGATCCACTAAAGCATGGTTATGATTGATAAATTCAGCACCATCTGCTAGGCATTAAAAACACTGAGCCATTGAATTAATATCAAAGTTTAATATCATCAAGAAATTATAAAGCATTTTTTCTAATGACTAAGATGATTAAAAACCTTCTGACACAATGGTTTTTAAGGAGTTAGATGTAATTCTTAGGGCAAAAGGGATCAAAGGTATGGGAAGAAAATCAGAACATGGTGTTGAGTTGGATGAACGGCCAAGATTATTTTGAATGGCACATCAGGTTAGAGGGGCAGGAAGCCCACTCAGGCTTCTGCTTTCTAAGTTTCTATGTCAGTGCCCAGTGGCTTACTGAACGTACCTCCACCATCCAACATCATCAGAACAAAACAGTTTACCTGATCATTGTGATTTGCTGCTTATGGAGTCTCTACCCCTATAGCATTGGTCTTTATATTGATGTCTGTTACAATAGAAATATTGTCAGATGGCAGCCATATTGCTGTCACTTTAATAATCTCTTTTAGAATTCTCATCCTTGTTTCCAAAATCCCTCCCTATATCTGTAATCTCCGACAATGATCTGGCATATTTGTTCTCCTCCAGTTCTGGCCAATCGAACATCCTTGATTTTAATCACTCCATCTTTGGACCTTTCGCTGCCAACTTCCTCTGGCATTTCCTCATTAACCCTCTCCACCACTCTCTTCTTAAAACCTCTGATTAGGCATATGGTCATTTCACTTAATACTTATTTCAATGGATTGGTGTCAAAATTTATTTGGTTAAATACAGTGACTGCTTAGGATATTTTACTGTGTTAAAGCATGAACATACATTATAAGAGTTGTTCTTTTGGAAGCACAACTGACGGGTTTTATAATGTTCCATAATTGTAATTTCAATTTGAAGAATTCACATGATATATTGACAAAAAAGAAATTCCATATGATTGTGCAACCTTGGTTTGATTTATTATTTATCATGTCTTGTTTTTCATCAAAGGTGAAAAATTTCAGATATTAATTTTGGTGAATTATAAAGTGAGACATTCATCTCCAACTGCCTCATCAGTATGCAAATTACTTTGAGATATCCAGTGCTGAAATCACTGTGCATATTTTACAAGGTGATGATTTTTCTTTTTCTCTAGCTGACACGTGTATTATGAAAATTGAACACCATGGAGCCCTGTTCTTGCAACATGTCTGTCCCACCAATGCAGCTGTATTTGTTATTAAGGTCAGTCAGTAACAACAAGAAAGGAATCACAGCTGCTTAATATTCAGTCACTTCAAGCGACAATGTATAGTTGTCAGATATATAACATTTTCAGGTCAAGGAGAACAGTTGGGGAATCTTCATCGTTTGACTATGAATATAAAATGATGCCAATATCAATACATTTCTTTTCTCAAAGGAAAATAAATCTTTGGATAAAATGTTTCTTCAACAACAATTTATGAATTTTAAACTCCTATCAATTCAGTATTAACAGTTTAAAGTCACTGATGTGGTTTTCACACTAGCACTTTGTTTCTTATTATGGTATTGGGCTTGATAATCAGTGTGACTAGGAACTCTTTTCCTACTAGGAATTCCACTTGCTGAAATAGTTCACAGTTTGTTGATGACTGGTCATAGTTTTTTTTCTGCTGTGTTCTACTTGGGTTACAGTGGTTTGATTGAACATCAATGGTACGCACCCAATCTGTTAAATCGGATTCTACGGTTGTCCACTAAAACTGCTCTGTTTCCCTCCAATATCTCCGGTTCCTTATGCAGCTCCTTTCACTTTCAGGTAGGATCAGACATCCATTCTCTCATACATTGGTCATTAGCCCCTTCTCCAAGCCTTATCAAGTTTGTTAAGGTAAAATGAAGCCTGTTAGCATTTGCAAGGACAGGATCTCTGTTGCATCATTTTACTAGCCTGGACTAAAGATTGATATAAAGCAGGCTATTCTGGTTTATTTGAGGTTGAGAGCAGTCTAATACCTCTTTAGGGGTATATTGTACCAATTAAATCAGGTATGAATTGTTATTTTTGCTCAGTGTAATTGCAATCTGTTCAAATTACACTGCACTGAAAGTCAATTGTATAACTTGACAAGCTGGTGACATCACTGAATTTGTTTAAACTCATGGAATTTCTGATTAAAACAGCAATAAGACATGCTTTTGGAATTGAGCTTTGGTGTATCTATGACATGTTTCCTGTTTTGAAATCAGATAGTCTATTTGTCATAAAATAGTCTAAATAGCAGGACATATGAAATTGGACCTTTCACTTGTTTCACATGTTATGACACAGAGATAGAAAGCAGAATGAAGTCAGCCTTTCTATCTGTGTTTGCAAATTAACACCTTCAAAGATCCTCAACATAGGAACCATTGGAGTCAAAGTAGGTTTTTTAAATAACCAGTTGTAGATTGTGCAAATAATCAATTCTAGACACTAGGTCTGTAACTTAAGTGAATTAGCAATACAGTAACTTTAGGCAGAACAACTTAAACAACAAAGTGATTTAACTGATGTTTATGTTTTAAAAGAACAACATTTGCTTTCAGTCCAATTTTTTTAAACAACAAATAAATATACAGACAAACACAGCAAAGGAACAAATAAAAGCAAATAAACAAAACTGACCAGAATACTTAAGTGGTTTTCACAATGTGTTATTCCACAAGCATGGAGGATTGCTTCTTGGTTAGTTTTCTAAAGTTGTCAATCAGGGTCACCTTTTCCCATTTGCTCTGATAAAGTCAATGATACTTATCACTTAGTTTCTATTTTCTGAACTTCCAATAGCTGATAATGGGAGGTTAGGCAAAGAGCTTTCAAATCTTCATGCTGTAGCATCAACAGCCAAACACCTTCCACAGAAAACACAGTTCTAAACTCAATTCAATCTCTTCCTGTCAGACTGCCCATCTCTCTGCAAGGCCCCAGATACTGTTTAACATTTACAATCTAGTTGATCATAAGGTGTCTCCCAGACTTGCTGGTACTAATTCCCAGGTATTGACCTCAATAAAGAACAACACCTGCTGATTATATATGCTATTCTCACCCAATACTGACAGGTCTGTAGAACCTTGTGATCATGTATCAACCTGCAATTAACTTCCAGGCCTGGCCTCACAAACAAACACATCTTGTTTGTTCTCTCTTCCTTCTTTTTTTAATAAAAGCTGCAGCCCACAGTCCAAAGGTCACCTTCAGCTCACAGTTTTTCAGTTCAAAGCTCCAAACTGAAATTGATAAAAAGAATAAAACAAAAATAATGAAAAATCAGTTCAGGTTCTAACACACATGAGCTTGTTAGTACCTGATGGCCAATAAGCAGTTCTTTCCCTACTTGGTTTAAATTGTTTCCACATATCACATTAAGAAATGGATCATCCTTGAAGGGAAGACAATGTGTGGAGATGGGAAAGCAGGAGTAGACAAGCCTGTGACAGCCCCAGTTGAGGCCAAAAATATTTTTATTCTTGGACCTTGTTTAAATATTCCACACTGGCTCCAGCCTGAAGCCAAAAATAATGACATAGCACTTGCTGAGCTGGAATAGAATTTTGGGTCATAAGAAATTGAAGCAGCTGATACTCATACATGTCAGTCTGTGGAATTGGTAGGATTTCACAGTTCATAGTTAGTGCTTGTACACAATGGGAGTCAGTCAAAGACTGGGGTGGGGATATTTTTAAATTTTTGTTTAAGGCCAGGGAAAATATGCCTGCACCTACTGACACAGAAAGACAAGCTTAAAAAATAACTTTCAAAAGAAACACTTTGGAGTCTTTTTTCTAACACCTATATTTCCTAGCTCCAGTTTTTTGCTTATAATTTACATTGTACAATACTCATGTGATCCTTTCTAAAAAAGCTCAAATCCTCAATTGCTATGTCGTCAGCTTGCAGGGTATGAATATAGATGAGGCACCAATGACAAACACGAAGTCTGCAGCCTTTATCAGTGTCAGATGGAAGATAAACTTTGAGTGCATAAGAAAGAGGGGCAAGGCTATACCGTCGAGTCTGTTTAGCCTGCTTCACTTTTCAATAAGATCATAGCTGACAAGGAGGATCTATGATCAAAGTAACATAATCAAACATAGCTGAAAACAAACCATTGAACAGTACACACCTGGTAGCATCTGTCTATCACATCCTTTACACGATAGAACCAGGGTTAAAATTATGGTTCATGGTCTCTAGGTTCTATTTCATCAGTCAACAATAAATCATTCTGCCTAACTTTTGAAGACAGTGTGAAATATAAAAACTCAGTCTTTGAATATCAATATATTCTTTGCTAATTGTAGCCCTTAACAATTCAGTTCCTTGCCTGTTGTGTTAGTTTGCTGCATTTAGTAATCCCAGTCTTAGACAGGGATAAATATTGCAGCAAATTATGTTTATATACTTTTGTCATATGTATGCTAATTAACATTATATTTTCATGATCAACATTTTGAGTGTTAAGGGACATGCATTCCACCCAGCAAAAAAACATCCTATGTCTCTTGTAGACAACATCAAACAAACATTTTTGAAGATATAACTTGATTTACTGGTGACTTGAATTCCCTAATTAGATTCTTTTTCAAAATGCCTTCAAGCAGTTTATGATCACTTTTCACTGTAATGTTCTTTCCCAAGACATGCTGTTTGAATTTCTCCAAAGGCAATAGGTAATAGATTTTTCAACCTAAGTATAATATATTTCAGTTAAAGATTTTGAGGCACAGACCTCAGATTAAACTTCAACCACATGCCTCAGTTCATCTGAGGGTCTCTTAACTTATCTACTTCTGAGGCCCTTCTCACAAGATATAAAAATTCAATGGATCAGCTGTCAAACAGTTCAACTATTTCAAGAGCGGCTTCTGCCAAAAGCACGGCATGATTCCACATGGAATGCCAAAGATTAACATGTGTGGTACCTAAACCCTCAGATCAGGCAACATTTATTTCATTCACACCTTACATAAGTTATGTTCTTGGACTTGAGCTGGGTTGGGGAAGCTCCCAATGGAATTAGGCAGTTAAATTGATTAGTAGCCCCTGATGTGCTTGGCTCCATAAGTAGTTGCAACTCCCAGACAGAGTTCTTTGAAGGAGTAACATGCACTGCAGATGAAGGAGTGCCTGTAAATGTACTGTACTTGATTTCAAAGCTGGAGCATATGGAATAAAGGATAACATATGAGCACAGACAGAAGACTGTTTTCTGCATGCAATCCATACACATACATGGGTCTTTCTTTGATTGATATGATATAGTCATAGAGTCATACAGCATGGAAGCAAACACTTCGGTCCAATCAGTCCACGTTGATGATAGTCCCAAACTAAACTAGTCCCACCTGCCTGTGCTTGGCCCATATCCTTCCAAACATTTCTTATTCATGTACTTATCTAAATGTCTTTTAAACATTATAACTGTTTCCGCATCCACCACTTCTTCTAGAAGTTTATTCCGTACGTGAACCACTCTCTTTGTTACTTGCTCCTCATTGCTTTTTTAAATCTTTCTTCTCTCACCTTAAAATTATGCCCCTTAGTCTTGAAATTCCCCAGCCTAGGGAAAAGACACCTGCCATTAACGTTATCTACACTCCTCAGAATTTTATGAACCTCTGTACGGTTGACAGGTTTTGATGCTCCAGTGAAAAAAATCCTGGCCTTTCCTTATATTTCAAACCCTTCAGTCCTGGCAACATTCTGGTAAATCTCTTCTGAACCTTCTCCAGCTTAGTGATATCTTTCCTATAACAGGGAGACCAGGGCTGGACACTATTCCAGAAGAGGCCTCACCAACGTCCTGTACAACCTCAACATAATGTCCCAAATACTATACTCAAAGGTCTGAGCAACGACGGCAAACATGCTAAATGCCTTCTTAACCCCGAAATCTATTCGATGACTGGCATCCTACAAGGGCCTCTGCTGAGGGCTCAGCATTTTTTACATTTCATATCAATGATTTAGACAAGGGAAGAAAAGGCATAGTGGCTAAACTTGCAGATGACACAAAGATAGGTAGGAAAGTATGTTGTGAAGAGAGCATAAGGTGGAGGTAGATGGATTTAGATAGGTAAAGTGAGTGGGCCAAAATGGAGATGGCGTGTGATATGGAAAATTGTGAAGTTCTTCACTTTGTCATGAAGAATATATGTTCATAACAAGATGCAGCCAAAAAAAGAGCAAAAGATGTCTGTGTGTGCATCAATATTGTTTCATAAAATTTCTATCTGCTTACCATTCAAAATGACTTCAAATTTTAGTGGTCTGTTACTCTTCTGAGTTGCGTTAAACGTGAAGCAAGAAAGTCTCATACTATGCAGCCTGTTGGTAAAAACACCTGCTGCAAGCATCAAAAGTGAATGTGTTTGGAAGAGGTCCACATGAGCCCAAGCCTGGGTTACTGTACTGAATTAAATTCTACTTTTTTTTGGGGGGTGAGTGTTATAACCGATTTTTGAGGTCCTTATTCTAAGTAATAAACAGGCAGTGCTGACTTCATAAATGATTATGTCCAAGAAAACAAATTGGTAAAGGAGAAAACAGCAGTCAATCATTACACGCTATTATGGTTATTTTAGAATTACACATTGCAAATGCACACCTCCTACCTCAACATCCACACTGACAGTCTATGTTTATTTATTGAGATTCAAGTGAATCACCAGTTAATGCTCACCATCTGCATACAGTGAATCACAATTAATATACCATTAACATCTGTCTTGCTCACAAAATTTTTAAAGAAAGATTTCGTTTTGGACAATGCTGAATTGACCAACCTCTTAAACTTCTCACATACCTCTAGATGATTGTAATTCTGCCAGTGGCAATCTCTGTTAATCACATACTCCATACAATAGGCCAACAGTCTTATTGACCCTACAGTATTTTAGTGCTGCTGCTTCAGAAATGATTTTGTTGACTCCATTAAGACACTCATCATGGTAACACTCTCATACAGAGTTAATGGCTGAGAAGTTCACTCAAGCTGCTCCTGCTCTGCCAGGATTACTTTGCTGAAAAGACAGTGGAATCTTTGCTTACTTTCTCATGAGCTGAATTCCTACTTCTCTCACGGCCTAGTAACACCAACAGGGTGAGAATAACGCTGAGGAACTTTCTAGCGGATTTGTTTTCTCAATACATCACATGGAAGAGGTATTATTTGCAATAACTTTGGTGTGAGCTTTTAGACAAGAATATTCTTGATATGTTGTATACTGTTACGATGAAGCATTTTAAGCACCTCAGCATGTTTTATTTCTAATCTGTTTTCAGATATAACAAAATATTTCATTTTCCTAGCCTTGAACTGTATTTTAGTCTTGTGCCGTTTGATACCTTTCTATAAGCATCACTTCAACCGGACTTTCAATTTGTGTGGTGATTCAGTTCATCTTCCTCAAAGGCCAAACTGTCAGAAAGACAACATCTTCCAGGTATTTTGAAGTCTCGTGAGATCGTCTCTGAAATTCTTTGAGGGCTGGAGAAATTCCAGAAGTTAGACGCAATCAATTGTCTTAATTTCACATCAAATGCAGCACACCTAGTAAGTACTCTTTGACCCAGCCAAGGACATTTGCTTTCGTAGTCAGAATATATTGTAGAATAAAGGGTTAACTACGACCTCCTCTTGATGAAGCCATGCTGACTCCACCGTATTTTACCATGCGCTTCCAAGCACTCTGCAATCTCATCATTAAAAATGGACTGTAAAATTTTGCCAATGACCGAGGTCAGGTAAACTGGCCTATAGTCTCCCGTCTTCTGCCTCTCTCTCTTCTGAAACATTAGCCATTTTCCAGTCCTCTGGGATCCTGTCTGACTCAACTGATTTCCAAAATATGCTTTTCCATTCTTCCTGCCAAAGTTTCCAATTCACTCTTTCCCCATTATTTTCCATTTGCTGGATTTTTTTCCTGATAGCTCAATCTATTTGTAAACATTTGTGGACTT